AAACACAAGCAGATAAACACTCAGGCATGTGTGGATAGTGTGGCAAAGTGAATTAGTGCACCCGTATTTTTGTTCATGATCCTCAAATTGACAAAAATAGGATTTGTTATTTTGTAGAGCTTCTGCCACCTCTTCCAAACTGTCAATTTAGTGGTCGTAGTTCCTCACTAAGACCTGCTTATGTTGTGCATAACTAAGTCAGACGAGAAAAGAAAAACACAACCGTCACAGAGGTTTACTCAAATATCACAAATAGCCCTCAGCTTGTTTTAGACAGACAACCAGGAACAACCCTAAAGTGAGCAGACAAACGGATGAGGGGCTGGCAGGGGTCTCAGGAGGCGAGGAATAACGTAAAAAAAATAAAAAAATTAAAAGATGCTGCGGTTGTAATGTTTACAAGATGGCAAGCGAAGCAAAGTTTGATGCTATAATGACAGTTTCTGCCTTTTTATCCATGCTTTTAGTTATTGGACGTATCCACAGGATCAACTACGGAGCAGAAAAAAAGAGTTTGAAACTGTTGTATGCACGATGATCGTAGCTGTCGACCCCTGGTTGATGTAAACATGATCACCCCCTCCCACTCACCTTCTTTGAATTTTCCTTACTTTTACATGCTTTGTTCACAGATCAGCTCAGCCTCGGGTAATCTGTGTACAGACTGAGAATTTCAGAGGCACTATTTGAAATCTAAGCTTGTTTTAAGCAGCTTCAGACTGAACTGTGTCACATGTTGTATCTCACACAGCTTTTTGATTTTCTGGATTTTCAGACAGTTCGTCAAAAACTTGAAGTAAATTCAGCACAACGACATTGAATAAAAAAGGAGAAATGAGCCATGGTACTTAGTCAGGAATTGTATGTGTCAGTTTGTAATAGCTCTAGTATAGCACAGGCAATAAGGAATAATTACCAACATGTTGGGTGCATTGATATTTAAGTTTACCATAAGGAGTGCTCAAAGTATTGTTGCTACAACCTGTCTAATAGTCTGTCTGATGACTCATTCTTCTCCCGTTATGACTTTGTTGTTTCATTGTTGTGCGTTCCCGTACCTCAGCATATTACTGGTACAATGCTGTCTAAGAACCGGTGGATAAAAAAGAATACAAGAAGGCTGTAATAACCTACAATTCTCATGTAAAATGGATACTTTTTGTTCTATGCGCAGGCTTATTAAATGTGCGCGTGTGGCTGTTTACGCAGACCTGTGTGCGAGGTTGATTGGACGTCTCTTGTCACACTCCCGTTTCATTGGCTCCCCAGGACTCTGTCAGAGGTGTAATTTCATTGTGAGAGTAGGAGACAGAATAGGACTGGGTGCAATCGGACACGTTAATTATAGTCTGACTCGCAGGTCAATTCTCGGGGTCTCCCCCAGTGCTCCACCAGGAGAAACGATAGAATTTTCATTTGAATGATTTTCATTATACCTCTGTCTTCTACATAATTTACTCCCAGTTAAGTTCATGAGTAATGGCCTCACACACACACACCCACACACACACACACACACACATTTATTACTCCTTCTTTCGTCATACACACGACCATTTACACACACACAGCCCATCTTTCCACCACCACAGTGTCAACCTTTTGAACCAGGTTAGTATGTTTCCATGGAGGCAAACCGGAAACAGAAGCGGCAAACCCCCCTTTTTTTTTTTTCTCATTCTCTAATTTCTCTGTCTTCTTCTTCTTCTCCGCCTTTGTCTCACAAGTCTGGCTTGAGCTGCCGTAGCTTTATCCTTTCAAAACAAGAGCCTGATCACCTGCCAAGTTGTTTACTAGCATCCAAATGTGATGTTTCGGCTGTTCAACAGACAGAGAGAGGGAGAAAGAGTGACCCTAATCGTGGTGTCCCTCTGTCGCAATTATCTTCTCTCCCTGACATCCATCCCTCCCTCCTTCTATCTCTCCTCTATCTCTATCTCTGTCTCTCCTCCCTTGCTTCTTTTCGCGGTCGAACATAATTTGAGTGCAATTAACTTCCCTTAAAAGCCCTGGCTGCTTTAAACGCCGTGAATTAGAGGGGAGGCAGACACAGGGAGAAAGAAGAGGTGGGGGAGACAGAAGGGAGACTAGGGGCGAGGGAGACAGAGGCAATGAAAGAAAGGAGACAAGGGTGAGAGAGAAGGGAGAGGGAATGAAAGTCAATGTCACCATGGCTGGGGAGGATAGAGGTGTGTTTGACCTCACTAACAGAGACAGTAAAACACTTGAGCTGGCCCTGTTGCTGCTGTGAGCTGTCATTGTACTGTACCTTGTAAAACACTGAGGGGATCTCCAGCTACTCTGTTGTTGCACTTGCTCAAT